ACAATAAATGTATTATTGAACAAATTTTATTTTATTTAAATAAAATATATAATAAAGTTGCTAAATAAACCTCATTTTGATATAAACAGCGTTTTACTTATTAAAAATTACACTAAGACATCTTTTGAGAAATTTAAATTATAGTTATAGTACTGGAAATGAACAAAAATTATGATAGTAATAGTACAGTTAAACGTTTCAAGGCCGAACGATGGAGAAAAACGAAAAACAAGACTGCGATATAGTTGATTTCGCGCTAAAAATTGTAACTTTTAAAAAGACCTTTTGCAACTTATGCTCTCCTAATACAAATTTTCAGATTTATCAAAATTTTCAATTTTGCATCATATACGAGGGCCGGTCGAAAAGTTGTGGAACAAAAAACAATTTTTGATTTTTCCATTACTTTCTGACCAACTCTCGTATTTGGTTCAAAACAGAAAATTTTCATAAATACCAATATTTGTATTAGGAGAGCATAAGTTGTATTGGATCTTTTTAAAAGTTCAGAATTACAGCGAGGGATTAACTTCACCTTTCTTACAAATAGTTCAGCTCCTGAGCATTTAATGGTTCTGGTAATTTTCAAATATTGGCACAATTTCTTTTCTTTTACAGTATGTACTATTTTATTCTTTACTGTTGTTCAAGACTGAGGACACAATTAAAAGCACATACTTTATTTATTTATTTATTTAAATACCAAAGAATGATAATACACTCAAAATACATTTATTATTTAGAAATACAATTTACATTTATTATAACAAAGTACAAATTTATTTCAAATAACAATACATTAATATAAACAAAATGTCTAAGATATAATACATTCTAACGACTTATAAAAGTTAAAAATAAAATACCTGTAAGAGAGACAAGAAAATCAATAAAATTTCAAAGAAAATACATTTATTATACATAAACTGTCATACCATTATTATTTAAATGCAAGATTAGGGAGAAAAAAGCCTCCCTAACCTTCTGTGGCCTCCGCATCTCCCCTTATAGCCACCCTATCCACCCAAACGAACATTAATTTTGAAAGCGTAAACAAATAATTAATTTAATTTAACAATTATACCAAAAAATCAATTTAGAAACATTTTAAATATCAACCTAAGTTATGATTATAAAGATATAACAGTTTATGCAGTAAAAAACAAAATACCTGTAAGAGAAAGACAAGAAAACACATGAAATTTCAAAGAAAATACAATAAAAAGCAAACAATACGATGTCTTCAGTCTTCTTCGGTTACCTGAAAGCGAATAGTGCAATTACAAGGACTAACGACAAATACTAATAGCTTTGGTAGAGAAGATCGGACAGATTTCGCCAAGGCAAGCTGGGCAGTCGCCTATTGCTCCTATTCCAGATAACCCACTGTACCCTGTCTGAAAGGAAGTAACGCTAGAGTAGACTCGCGAAAAGTGTATAAGACACTTTTAAGATCAACTAAATAGCTAAGCCCAAGGGAAGTCGTTCGGGGAGGCCCTCCCTAATTCCACAAGGGTGAGAAGAAACACACACGATAACGAAACGTTGAATCATGTAGAACTCGTAGGGTAAATGCAAAGCAAATTAGGAAGAATATGCAGTAAGCTAAGCGAAGAGGTAAGCAAGGTTAGACTATACTACAACTACTAAACGTGTTATTTCTACTACTACACTACTACTACATACAAAAAAAAAATAAAAACATCTACAATCAACAATCACTTCAAATAAAATGAACAAAAATAAGCATGCAAAATAAAAATTAATTTGAATAAAATGAACCTAATGAATTCTACTAGATAGAGCATGCAAGATAAACTGCCGGGTCATCTTTGTCTTCTCCAACGTCGATCTGAAACAGATACGGTGGTAACAGATTAATAAAGAGCAATTAAAATTAATTATATCAAGCATTCCCACCTTAATTAGTTGTAGACTGTAACTTTTCAAAGTTTGCAGATGTTACATGCAGACCAAATCCAGAAGGAATACCACAGCACAAAATGTTGTTTTAGTAAATCTCCTGTTGTTCTTATTTATCAGTTGAAAATTAACTTCATGATGTTGCAAGGTGAAGACGAAAACAGCAAATCAAGAATATAATCCACAAAAGACCACACCCATGTAGACATTGGCTGTTTCAGTATAACCAAACTGAACATTAATTCTCTCTTATTTATTGTATAACCTGTAGAAATGGATAAAAAACACATTAATTACACTTATAATTAAGAAACACAAATAAAAACGCATCAAAAAGCATGTAAAATAAGTTGAATTATAAAATAACAAGCGTTACATCCACGCCATTTTACATCACAACCATAGATCACGACATAGACAAATGTCAAATAATACGACGTCAATTTACGAAGCAGACAATAGAAAAAGGGTAAAAAGAAAATCCATTGATAAATCAACGAGTAGTAGTAGTTAGATGGTAGTTGGTAACTATCGATGGATAAACGCCAATTTATTCTGTGGGAAATAAAAGCTGTCACGAGAGATCGATGCACAATAACCTCAATTTATACTGTTGACAATAGATAATTGTTGAAAAAAATTCCATAACACATTAATAAAGAACAATTAGCATTAATGATGTCATGTTTTCTCACCTCAATTAATTGTAGAAAGTAGCGTACTAAAGTCTACCAGTCTGACAAGCAAAACAAATCTAGGAGGGATACCACTGCAAGCAATTTGTTGTTGCGGTCACTTCCAAATTAATTAATTTCCAATTGCCTGTCATTGTTACAGCAATAATTAACTGCATAATGTTGGAAGGTGGAGACGTCACAAGCATCGCTTGTTTTAGTAGTACCGAAATTAACTGCAATTTCTTCTCATTTGTGGGACAATCTATAAAGAAATAGGCAAGAAAAAGTAATTATCATTTTTAAATCATTCAGTATAAATCAGTAACATGCACACTCTTGGAAAAATCTGTTCCACATTAATTCTTACAATCTCACATTCTCAATTCATACCTCCAATCTCTTCTTCAACCCCATTCACACTTGTTACTCATAACCCATTCATTTCTCTACTCAAAGTGTACCCTCATGTACTAATGAGGGTATTCTGCGAGTGAAGGAATGAGTTGAGTTGTGAGATATACATTCTCACACCCCCTCTTATACCTACACTTACTCGGTCAATATTATTCATACTTCTTTAAAACCCATTTATACCTCCACTCCCAAAATACCCTCAATCTTACATGCTCATTCCTTCACTCAAAAAAAAAACAGTGAATGGTGGTATGAATTGGGGATGTGTGATTGTAAATCTTGGAGATTAAGAAAAAGAATTAAGCACCCATAACAGATGAATAAAGAGCAATTACTATTAATGAAGTCATGTATTCTCACCTTAATTAATTATAGAAAGTGGCGTTCTAAAGTCTACCAGTGTGACGAGCAAGATGTTACAAGACGAAGACGAAACAGCAAAACAAGAATATAATCCACGAAAGACCACACCCATGTAGACATTGGCTGTTTCAGTATAACCAAACTGAACATTAATTCTCTCTCATGTATTGTATGACCTGCAGAAATGGATAAAAAAATATTAATTACACTTACAATTAAGAAACACAAATAAAAACGCATCAAAAGCATGTAAAATAAATTGAATTATAAAATAATAAGCGTTACTTCCACGCCATTTTACATCACAACCATAGATCACGACATACATAAATGTCAAATAACACGACGTCAATTTACGATGCAGACAATAGAAAAAGGCTAAAATGAAACTCCATTGATATAAATCAATGATAAATGTCAATTTAATCTGTGGGAAATAAAAACTGTCAATATATAAATGCACAATAACCTCAATTAGTTGATAATATATAATTGTTAACAGAAATTTAACAACAGATTAATAAAGAATAATTAATATTATTGAAGTCATGTATTTTTACCTTAATTAATTTTAGAAAGTGGCGTACTAAAGATTACCAGTGTGATGAGCAAACCAAATCTAGGAAGGATACCACTACAGACAATTTGTTGTTCCGATTGCTTCCAAATTAATTAATTTCTTAAAAGACTTTTAAGAGCTCTTTTCTGCAATTGGTTATAAACTCATAATTTACTGGGTGTAGGTTAGCGATTTCAAAAGATTAGAAAAGCAAATGGGGTACAGGAAGCGAGACAAATATGTGCTTTTCAGCAAGAGCATGATCAACGTGACATGTTCATTCGTTGGCGGCCAAGCTAAAAAACGAAATCTAAAATCAGTATTTTTTGAAACAAAATAGAAAATTATTTATTAATTTTTCTGCCGATAATTAAATACCTTTTCTTTCAATTGGTTCATCTTTGAATAATCCCAATGAGACAAGGTTTGGGGGAACAATTAGCCAATTTGATACTGGAAACAACACCGTTGTTTTTTATGTTGTCGGTACGCTGCATTAACAAACAAGACATAGTAGAACCGGTAACAGATTAATAAAGAGCAATTAAAATTAATTATATCAAGCATTCCCACCTTAATTAGTTGTAGACTGTAACTTTTCAAAGTTTGCAGATGTTACATGCAGACCAAATCCAGAAGGAATACCACAGCACAAAATGTTGTTTCAGTAAATCTCCTGTTGTTCTTATTTATCAGTTGAAAATTAACTTCATGATGTTGCAAGGTGAAGACGAAAACAGCAAATCAAGAATATAATCCACAAAAGACCACACCCATGTAGACATTGGCTGTTTCAGTATAACCAAACTGAACATTAATTCTCTCTTATTTATTGTATAACCTGTAGAAATGGATAAAAAACACATTAATTACACTTATAATTAAGAAACACAAATAAAAACGCATCAAAAAGCATGTAAAATAAGTTGAATTATAAAATAACAAGCGTTACATCCACGCCATTTTACATCACAACCATAGATCACGACATAGACAAATGTCAAATAATACGACGTCAATTTACGAAGCAGACAATAGAAAAAGGGTAAAAAGAAAATCCATTGATAAATCAACGAGTAGTAGTAGTTAGATGGTAGTTGGTAACTATCGATGGATAAACGCCAATTTATTCTGTGGGAAATAAAAACTGTTAAGAGATATAGATGCACACAATAACCTCAATTTATACTGTTGACAATAGATAATTGTTAACAGAAATTCCATAAAAGATTAATAAAGAGCAATTAAAATTAATTATATCAAGTATTCTCACCTTAATTAATTGTACATCGTAACGTTCCAAAGTTCACAGGTTTGAAAAGTAAACCAACTCCAGGAGGCGTACTGTGTCAGAGAATTTGTAATTTCAGTTGAATTCAAATAAATATCCAGTTGCTCTCACTCATGGGTTGAAAATTAACTGTATGATGTTACAAGGCGAAGCCGAAACAGCAAATCAAGAATATAATCCACGAAAGACCACACCCATGTAGACATTGTCGATTCAGTATAACCAAACTGAACATTTTAATTCTCTCTCATTTATTGTATAATCTGCAGAAATGGATAAAAAATACATTAATTACACTTATAATTAAAAAACACAAATAAAAACGCATCAAAAAGCATGTAAAATAAGTTGAATTATAAAATAATAAGCATATAAATATCAAATAACACGTCAATTTACGAAACAGACAATAGAAAAAGAGTAAAAATAAAATCCATTGATAAATCAACGAGTAGTAGTTAGATGGTAGTCAGTAACCGTCGATGGATAAACGCCAATTTATTCTGTGGGAAATAAAAGCTGTCACGAGAGATCGATGCACAATAACCTCAATTTATACTGTTGACAATAGATAATTGTTGAAAAAAATTCCATAACACATTAATAAAGAACAATTAGCATTAATGATGTCATGTTTTCTCACCTCAATTAATTGTAGAAAGTAGCGTACTAAAGTCTACCAGTCTGACAAGCAAAACAAATCTAGGAGGGATACCACTGCAAGCAATTTGTTGTTGCGGTCACTTCCAAATTAATTAATTTCCAATTGCCTGTCATTGTTACAGCAATAATTAACTGCATAATGTTGGAAGGTGGAGACGTCACAAGCATCGCTTGTTTTAGTAGTACCGAAATTAACTGCAATTTCTTCTCATTTGTGGGACAATCTATATAGAAAGGCAAGAAAAAGTAATTACCACTTTTAAAATCGAGTAAATCAGTAACATGCACACTACTGGAAATATCTGTTCCACATTAATTCCACTTCTGCCATTTCTGAAAAATTGTTTAAAGGTTGTCTATTGAAACAAATTACAAATGTCNAGTTTATTGAACGTAAAAAAGAACTTATATTATAAAATACATATTTACAGAAGAAAACACGAACAGTATGTTTAATAACTATTTAAGATAATATTGTAAGTCTTTCTCGTACACATTTCCAAATTTCAAGGCGCACAAAATTAACAATTTCGTTCTAATTTTCCATTATATATTTGTATTTACAAGATTAGAATAACATATGATAAACAACACAACCGTTTTCTTTTGTAGATATAGAGAATCAAGTAATATTCTTTTTTCAATTTCCTTAGAGAAAATACGTCCGCTATCTATCACACGGCAAACTAAACATAAATTAGTGGCGTTTATTTTGTACATATTCTGAAAACTATCAAATTCCAGAAAAATAAAATATTCTCAGTACTGAGTATAGGACCTAAACAAAAGAAAGTATTTTTTAATGATAAAAAAAACTTGCATGTGAAACATTCACACGAATGCTAATAACATTTGTTATATTTATTATAGTAAGATAAAAAGAAAAAATTATATAAAAGAAAACATGAACACCGTTTCTTCGATTGTTCTCAACGTAATACATGTTGTCGAAGTAAATAAATTAACAATATATAAACGGCAACAACAAGCTAATTACTCAAAAATAATTGCTTCTGTGTCAATAAAAAAATATTGCACCTTTTACTACCAAAGTGCCCGCTTGCTATACATTTTCTCTTTTCTTGTTATGGAACTATAACGGTAGGACTCACATTATTTAAATATTAATATTGATAGTATATGTACCTAATTAAAACATTGCAGTTTTTGATCAAAATATAAAAGTAGGGTCGGTGTGAATATGAAAATGGCCCCCATAACAGTGAGTTTAATAAGTCTTTTTATTTTTCCTTATTGTAATAATTAATAATGTTTAGGATCACTTCAATATACAAAGATAAGTTGTTCGGTGGTTAAAATTGGTCGCTATTGTCAATTTTTTTTGACATTAGAAAAATACAAAAAATTAGCAAAAAACGACTAATACTTGTGTTTAATGGAGTTATCCTACATGTTATGAATTATTAGAACAAGTATAACGAACAATAATAAACAATTAATAAGAATTTTTCCCTTTCATTAACAATGGAAGAGAAAGATAATTTTTCTTACGAATTTTTGTTTACTGGTTATAACAATAATAATTAATAAGAATTTTTCAGAAAACATTAATTACACTCATTTTAATCGGGAGGGGTATTTTCAAACTCTTACCGACCCTCTCTTTATCTCTTAGATAATTCGATATCAAAATTCTGTTTAAAAACAATGTCTTAAGAAAAACGTAAGATTTAAATTTTGGAAATCACATTCACGATGTAACATACAAACTATCACACCTGAAACACACATTTTGGTAATTTCTACTCTTCCCAATTCGAATTAACATAGTAATTGAAGATAAAATTGAATTTACTCCAACAGTAAAAAAACATATAGAACTGTTGCTACTTCAATTTTATCTCTACAAAATAATAAACTGTCTGTTATAAATTTAGGAACGCTGACGACAATGTTTCTAAATTGTTACGAAAATGTTTTTTCCTTTTCGTTCGACTAACTCACTTAAATGAGTTTTTTGGAGAAAAAAATAAAACACTACTAGGTTTTTTCCACAGCTAAACGACACGAAAATATGCATACCTTCGATATTATTTATAATGCACGTACATATCAAACCGTATGTAACATTTAGTTAATTAAATTTTTACCATCCATTTCATACTTATTAAAACTTCTAGTGTCCCGTTCTTTATGTTCTATCTTACTTATATACAGCAGAATTAAAAAAACAGTATCAAGTCAGTAATTAGCCAATTGAAGTTTATATCTATTACTTACTAAAAAAAAAAAAAGAGGGCGAGCCTTTACTTTAAGAACAAATACATTTAATCAATTAAAACTGCTTCTAAAACAAAGGGTATTCAGTTAACTTNATATATTTTTTTTTCAAAAACGGCGACACAAATGACTCACAGTTACGCGATCTTTCAAAACGTTTTCACAACCATTTTCTGTGTCTGTCTTACTGTACAAAAATTTTTGCTCATCTCATGATACAACACATGTATGTCCGTATGTATGTATGCATTTATACATTTATACGAATGCAGCATTTACATTACAACCGTACAAAATACGCATTTTGAAAAAGATAAGCGAAACTGAAAAATCCGATTTTGTTTTAAATGCGACGTTGACGTTTTGTATTACATGTCTCTTTATAATTGTTGTTTTTGTTATTACGACAATATAGAAGAAACGACGTTGGAATTCATTTCTTCAGACGCGGTGGGTCTTTCGAACTGCTCCCGCGTCTAGGTGGTGCTGCTGGTTGTCCCGTGGATGCCGCTTGATTCGGCGGTGCCATCGCAGTACCCGGGGGAGCACTTCCAAAAAAATAAAACAATAACGTACATCACGAAGACACTACACGTTACCCCCACACAAAAACTACTGAACATATGATTGCTATCAATGGTGATGAGAATGATGTAACTCACGTAAGATAAGTTTGATGCTGGGGTTGGTTGATTGGTTTGGTGGTGGTGGTGATGTAGGACAATTGGGAATATGTTATGTATGAAGCGAAAAGCGAAAATATATTTAATGCAAGCATTTGTTGCTCCTAAAAAAGAGATTAAGTTAGTGTAAAAAGTTTTCCAACATTTGTAAATCATAGAATCTTAAAATAAATAAATCGTAAATATAAGCAAGATTTTTTTTTATTAATTTCCCCAATACTGCACACTCAATTTCCCAAAAAATAGAGGACTCGAGATGGAGCGTTTAAATAATTAAAAAAAAAATGTCAGCAATAAAGTAACTCTACAGTAATAATTCTATCAATGGCCGACGGGGGGCATTTGTTTTCTTTTATTGAACTCGAAGAACTTGTAGGGTCTTGGTCTTTTACCACAAAATGAAACAAATTAACGAAAACGACAAGGGGGGTCACTTTATTTTTTCGATATGTTCAATAATAAAGCCAAATCGGTTGTGTGAATACTTTTTCCAGTCTTAACATGTCTCTTACAATTGTTTTCTACTAATCTGGAAACATTAAAATTTTTAGCAAAAAAGAAAACTAAGGATTGTGGTAGCAGCAAAAAATACGTGAATGAATGAATAAATAAATGAAGGAATAAAATTCAAAACGCATATCAACATTTAACTTGACTTACTTAGTTTGCTTGGCGTTGCTGAGATCAGATGTTGAGGCGTTAGGGGCCTGCCCGGCGCGTAGCCTCGTTGACAGTCGAAGTTCTCGACTGTCATACAGTCTGGGAGAATCTTATAAAAAAAAAAGAGTAAGCAAATAATAAAAGAATTTGCATATTATTAATTTAATAGATTAGAAACATAAGCTATTTATAAAATTTTAAACTTTTGCAAATAAAAACAAAAAATATTATCCATAAAACCTAAAATATTTTCCAGTACCTAAACCTTATCAAGAGAAAAATATCGTTGACATTAAATTAATTGCTTTGGAGATTGTTAAAGATAGGTAAAAACTTAACCCTTTATCTGAAACTTTTGATTTGTGCATTTATTAAGTAAAATTATGAAAAAACTAATCACATGTATTAGCTTCTTCTATTTAAATGTGTTTGTTACTTATATAAAGAAAGAAGAAACATTTAAAGTTAAATATAACAATAAAGAATAAAATTTTGAGGCCCATGTTATCAATTTTAATAAAAAGATAAAGTAGATTTAAAAAAGTGTTTCAAAGGATAATATATCGTAAAAGATGAAGATTAAAAGGTACCTACTATCACTGTGGTGACTTGCGACTATTTGTTATTATAAACTTATTACTACACCCCAACGATAAGACGTTCCGCTTGTTGTCGATTCACGTGTTTCCTTGTAGCATAGTCACGTTGTTAAATTGACAAAATTTCTGAAGCTGCACCAACGTTTTAAACAAAAAACTGTTAAAATAATAACAGCCTCACTTACACGAGTATGAGGTGAAACGTAACCCGTTTGAAAAATTATAGGCAGTACGCACTGCTTAAAACTAAATAACAAAAATTAAAATCGGATTCGAAAATTTTACATTTGGCAACAATGCATCTTTTTCGTGGGTGGGGCATGTATTATAAATAGAGTCCGGGATCTCCCGCTGTCGGGCAGATACTTCCTGACAGATACGTAAAGAGGTACACTCTGCTTATAATACAAATGCACGCAAACATGTGAATTCAACGACACGTGACAAAAGAAGGAAATTAACGACACAATGGTTAAAACAATTGAAAAATAATAAACGAAAAAAAATAAATTGAAATATACAACATACTACTTGTAATAACATCCTCTAAAGGATTGGGGGTGGATGCGTTGTTTTGCACTACATCCATTCTATCATGGGGCCTTCGTCCTCTCGTTTGTGGAGCGGCAGGGGCATTAGAATCGAGAAGTGTAAGATACCGTTGTCCTGAACGCACACCCTCATCACCATGTCCACCACCTCTGGTGCCTCCTGTTTTCAAAAACATGTTTTATAATAGCAAAATATTACGTCATTACAAATTACAATAATAAATGTAAACCTTCTAGAACATTCCTTAAAGTAACATGACGATTATTATGCGTTCAAACTAAACATAAATAATTTTTAAAACAAAATACAAAAATATTTTTGAGGCGAATCCAACTTACGTAAGGCATTTTTGATCCTAAATTTCTTCAATTTGCGCGTAAGTTTTCCTTGTTTAGCGTAATTGTCGTTAAGTTTTTCTTTTAGGCATAAAAATTTCTCTCGACTTTTTGTTAATTTTTCAAAATAGCGACCTAAAATTTCTAGTCCGAGGGAGAAAATCATTTCCGCCTCACTGTCGAATTTGTAAACGTGAACCATCGATCCCATTATTTTCAAAAAATCGAAAAAATTAAGAGCATAGCCGAACAGAGAAAGAAAACTTTTCCTCTTAACACGCCACCAATCCACCAAAAACCTTTGAAAACTAAATTACTTATACCGCACTACCGATCAAATCGAGCAACCTTTCCACGACCAAGCATTACTAATAAATCTTGCGCATTCTAGAAGCCGCATGCTTCCGTACATCGTTCATAAAAATAAACAAAAACATGTTAAACATTTACGTCCCTTCTTTCAGTTTCCGCAAAAATACAAATTTCTACTAACTTTCCGAATTGCGTTTAAAATTCCCGCCGTGAATTGGAAATTCAGACGGAAACACTCCGAATCGTTCCATGTTCTGGAATAAAGCTACGTCTATCTTTGTTTGTAATATCGCCAGATATTGTTGCCTCTCACCTTGTATGTGATCACATGTATGAGAGCAAGAAACGAAAATACAAGAGAGAGATAGAAGAAACAAGCTCGTTCGACTTCAATATCAGCTGTGAACTTTCAAATAATACAAATACGACCTTGGTGTATACATATTTGTGTACACACGACGTGACGTGTTGCCGTTGCCAAATACAAACAGCACACTAGCATAAATACATATACAATACATGCAGTATTGGTAGAGGTCAGAAATATTCTATAAATACATAAATGTATGTATACACTGTCATGTCATTTTATAATATAAAGTGCACTAACAATAAATCTTCTCAATATCGATAGTGATACTTTTTAATGAAAATTAAATCCTTCAAAATTCCCATATTTTTTTTACAAACATAATTTTACTAAAAACAACCGAAAATTTCAAAATATAAGTATACCTACACTTTACGTGTGTAACTACAAGTTCCTTTTAACAATTTTAGTCATTGCTCTATACCTATAATTGATATTAATCTGAAAATGTTACCACGAAAATACTTCATTGTATGAATAACAGTTTACAATACGTGAACTAATTACTAACACACTGGTGCAGAATATATTAATTAAAATATGTTTCAATTTTTTTTTTCTGTAAATATACAAAAAAGGTAATAGATAATAAACGCTGTTAAACTGTTTTTTTTAACGCTAATGCTTTTTGGTCCGAATGTGGTTAGATTATGTTCTACATAACAGCGCTTAAAAAACCAAAAACACGTTTTAACACCTAAGTTGACACCCCCAGTAAGTCACTATATTAGCAATCCGTAAAAAAATGTCGCCCTGGCGAGATTAGAAGTAGTTATTCATTTTCGAGTTCACCTACCGATAATTTTATTAATTGTATACATGATAAAAATAAGTTAAGTATCACAAAATAAAATACATTAATTTACTTTTGAAAATTGAGGTAAACTGCAATAAAGACAAAAGACTTCTTGTAGCAAATAAAAAAATTGTTTTCTTTACCATAGTGATTCGCACCTGTTTCATCCGTTTTAGTTACACTTTCTACCGATTACAAGTTCAAATTTTATCGCAATCGTATTTTTTTTCTAATTGTAAAATGTCAGAAACCTGGTTTATAATGAAAATAACCCATTATAAAATAACTGATAAAACGCATATAGTTAGTTTTGTTTGGCGTAAGTGTAACGTGATTGATGAATAATTTTTATCGCATCTATGTTAATTTAGGTAAGGCTTAAAGTATGTACAATAATTATGGAGTTAGTTTGTAAATCAACAAAAAACAAAATGTATGCACATGATAAACTCACCAAATTTGAGCATATTCCAATCAAAAACATAATCATAAGTGAAGCCCTGCCTGTGGAAGAGTGTTCTAAATAATTGCCTGAGATAACTGTAGTCCGGCCTCTCTTCAAAACGAAGCTGTCTACAGAAGTTTAAAAACGTCGGAAATTCTACTGGATAACCCTAAAAAGAAACATAAATTTTGGTATAATATACATATATTAAGTTGGTGTTATAGCAGGATGATGAAAACCTAGATAGAAAAAAAAAATACAAATGAAGGGGTACTGGAAAGTATAGGAGCACAAACGACGCTCTCAAGCCAATAATGGAAAGAAGAGGTAGGATGGATTAGTCAGGAACATGAGTAAAAACGTGCAAAGAAAGACGTATATTAGATTACTGTTTGCAAATCGTAAGAGATTGAGTAAGAGAGAATAAGAGACTGATGATAATATAATTTTTTAAGAACACACTAATAAAAATAGAAAGTTTAAAAGTTTCAGCAACATTTCCTTTTTCTTTACTCATCTGTTACTTACTTTACATAATTCTTCTATAGGCGTTGACATTTTCTTTTCGGAAATTCGTTCGTATTTTTGCCGTTTCGTGGCAGCTTTCAGTCCTTGCCAGGGCAGGGAGCCCCTATTAAAATACATGAGAACGTATCCTAGGGATTCTACGTCGTCTCTCCGGGATTGCTCTATTCCTAAATGTGTGTTGATACTGGCGTACCGAGCCGTACCTGTTGATAATAAAATAACAATCATACACCAACAACGAACTAAATGAAATAATAACTCATTTTAATAACAAACTTTTTGAGGAATACAAAATTAAAAATTTTCAATTATTACTATAGTAGTATATGAGCAGAAGACCTGCAACTTACAAAATAATGCAAAGTAATGTCCAGCAAGTATGACAAAACTTCTTTGGTTCGTAACAATTGCATTTAAAATGACTATTTGTACTTTATAAATTCTCTGATTAATGCACTAAACATCCTGGGTTATAAAAATTACATAAAGACGCATAAATTTAGTTTAGATTAAGATCAAATTGCTACATGTTTGAACTTAAAAAAATCTTACCAGTGAGGTTTTTGTTTTCTCGGTATGGTATGTGCATATTTGTCCGGCTATCACGATACTTCTTGGCCAAGCCAAAGTCAATTATATACACCAAATTACCCTTTTTCCCTAAACCCATGAGGAAATTATCGGGTTTGATGTCACGGTGAATGAAATTTTTTGAATGGATGTAATCTATTCGACAAATCAGTTGGTCGGCCAGTAACAGAACTGTTTTCAACGAAAAACGCCTCGAACAAAAGTTGAACAGGTCCTCCAGAGACGGACCCAACAGTTCCATTACCATCACGTTGTAATCACCTTCTGAACCACACCATTTTATTTGAGGTATTCCAACTGGAACAATCACAACAATTGATTCAATCAATCTATATTTTAATTACTTATATTATGTTAAATAATTATTAACTTTTCTTATTGTTAATGAAACACCATAAATTGACACTGCAGCGTTCGATTCCATATCAGTTTGTCATTTATATATTTAATTTTTCGCATTAAACCGTAGAAGTGGCCAGTCATTCTCTTATTCAATTATAATTACAAGTATAATAGCATTGTCGTAGTTTAGCAATAAAGTAAATTTAATACTACACAAGAAAACTTCTATTGATGATTTTCCCTCATAAATTTCATTAAATTCAAAATCTCATCATTTGCTAACTTAACAATTACATGACAAAGAATGTTCTACATTCATAAAACAATGTTAAAAAATAGTTTCATTTAAATTCAAGAACATAAAACCAATCTAAGATAGGCAATTATAAAAAAAAAAGTATTGCACACTTTATTAATTATTCTACTATTCAATAAATTATTAGTCACATACATGCAAACCAAACAATAATTATAATTCATTGCTAAAATTAAAGGTCTCAAAATTTTGATTATACCACTAAAAAACCGCATATCAATACAATGATATTTTTTGCAAAGTTACAATACCTTTTGCTCTTTTATAATAATTGGATACCTAAGCAAAATGTTAACAACATGAAATCAAAAAAACTCATAACAGCAACTGCAGAAAATTATCATAAAACAGATTACATACTCAAAAACAACAAAACACAAACATAGAAGAACCCGCATATTTCAATAATATTATGTATAACTGATTGGGTTGATTTCATATTCTTCTATACATGTGTATCAAATACGTGAACAATGAAAATGAAGTTATGTAAAATAATAGGCCCAGCACACAAGGTCAAAGGTGCATATAAATGCAGTAGGTTCGATAAAATTGATAACGAACAGAATTTTTAGCTGAGTTGAAAAAAAAAAGCAGTATAAATGAGTTTATAGTGTAACCAACTGATAATAGACAAACAGAAATACTTAAATCGTAAAACTCCATTCATCATCAAGAACTAAAAGGCACACGAGAAAAATATTATTCGTACCACATAGGTATTAGAACATCTACATTTACTTATAAATAAAATATTGCTTGCTTCCCAAAATAGTTAAAACCCAATTAGGTACAAAAGGTAAATACTGATCAAGCATTTGTCCCCAATATGAAAAATATTTAAATTATGAGGAAGTAAAGCAAACACAAAAATAAACACAAATTACTTGGTACATAGTAAACATTGTGCACAAAATATTTTGTCCCATTCTTAACATTATATACTGTTAGCTTAAGTAAAGGATAGCTTTAAATAAAAGCGTCATACTACTCATACATATAGTGGTCTAATTTTAGATGCTGGATATCTAGAAAGACCTAATTAATATTTTATTATTATTATTATATAACTAATAGTGTGTATTAAACCATGCATTATGTTGCTTTCTTTGTATTGTTTATAAATGTCATGGGAAAACAAAGAAAACCAGAATTATTAATTGATCAAACAGTACTGTCTACATAGATAAGTTTCAAGTTGTTAGCAAACAGGATGATAAACCTAAATGGGCAATTTAACATTGATAACTATGAGTACCAATGTAGCAAATATTTTTATTTGTTAGTTAATGAAAATAGCACATGTAAGGTAATAACTTACCACCGCTTTGCATCAGTTTGTAAAATTTTGCTTCTATGTGTAACTGGGGATGTCTCGTTTTGACACATTCTAGTTTTATAGCAACTTCTTCCCCATTGAGTATACTAGTTCCTAAAAATAGTAAAACAGAACATGTTGAATGTTAAGGGCACCTTATGTATTCTGTACTTCCAAAGAACAACAAAAATCATTGTTTACAACCGACACCTGATTATAGTCAACCGAAATTGAAATTACCTAAATATATGTCTCCGAAAGATCCGGATCCGATTTTCCGACCGAGTCTGTATTTGTTCCCGACTCGGAGCTCCATTCCAAATACTAAATTTAATGATGAAGTGACAAAAGACACATGAAATGTGAAGTTCTCTCAGTCGGCCATGTTTTACTAGCCAACTACATACATTTGATAGAAACTTGACGTAGAGCTGTATGCTAAAAACACTTTTGTCTGTACCGTAAATCGAACAACGGAATGTTGAAACGATTTTCCGACGTTTACACCCTAAAATGGCTATCACAGATTTGTTAAAAAATGCAAACGGACCCTCGAAATGCAAGATTTCCGCAACATCTTACTCGATACACGCCGCTGACAAACTGCAGATGGGGCAATCAAAACGTTCAGTTCATGTGCGATAGATGTTTTACACAACAAGAATGAGCATCAATCTGCGACAAACGTACCTGAAACTAACGGTGCATCGAATTAACATTCAATGTAAAACAGTATGCCAACATATGCCCGTGATTAATTCGGAAATGTAACCTCTGATAAGATGGTGAACAATATCATAGACTTAGATATTTTTTTAACAATCTAATTTAAATTGGCTTTTATATAAAATCTTTGTTAAATCATAGAAGTAATAATGTTGTACAATAATCAGTTTTCATTTAAAATAAATTAAATATTAACAAAGTAGAACGTGTAGCGTTACGTAACAGGTATTTGCAACAGGTATCTGTATGCAACTTCTATTACTTATTGAATTCCCAGAAAAATTACATATTGCATAAGGCACTATACGTTTTTTAACAAGATTATTAAAAATAATAAAAAAATAGTAAATTTATATTCAAAAATGTTACGAACTGTAAGTGTATGCGGTTGATAATTTATTCATTTTTTTTGTCCTTATTTCTTTTACACATGCAATTTATCATCAAAAGTATATACTTATTGTGTTAATTCATATACAAAATGAAAGTAAAAAATTATTAACTGATATTAATCGTGTAACATCATAGATGTTTAATACTCTTTTGAATTTATAATTTTCTATGAAAAATCGTTTATCGTTATATGCAACCCGTTGTGATTTTTGCGAAAACCAACATCAACGTATGCAACCCATTATGAATTTTTATGAAAAGTCAAAGTCAACATATGCAACCCATCCTACAGAACTAGAAAGAATTGGATGTTAAGAGTCGTCAAATAAACAGCTCTCATTAACATTTTATAATTAATACAACTGTTTTTTTTTAAAATAGCACCTGGAAAAAGCTGTTAATGTTTTGCAATTTTAGAGCAATCAAATTTCCAATTTTAACAACACTTTCTTTTTAGAAAATGTACAAACATACAGCAAAGAAAAAATGATAAAAACATTTATTTCTCTAATAGTGATGCCATCTGTCATGTGAATATAATGAGCTTGTTACGTGATTATTAAAAACAAATTAGATTAAAAAACCATTAGCTTTTAAGGCCGTAGGTAATAATAATAAAAGTTATGATGAACCGACCTCCCTTTAGCATTTCAACGGAGAAGAGGTCCACACTCTCAAATAGAACAGCACATTCATACTACGTACCGCCACCAAATGAAAATAATAAAAGCCTTAATAAGGAATTCGAGACTTTATCACTATTATCATTTCATTTCGTTCTTTTCTCTCGTCTATTTATTGTTTACGATACTTTCTTTTTTGATAAACACTTTCTTTGCAAAAATAAAACGCTTCTGTACAAAAATATTCTTCAACAAGACCCTTTATGTACAATATAGAAGAAAAGCTTAATTATATTAAAAACCAATAGTGATAAAGTCGATAAATGTTACTCTTTTTCAGTGTTAATAACACTGTACACTCCTTAATAATTTATAAATAATAATAATAATAATAGGTACATAATAATACGAATATAAAAACATTAAAA